TCCATTTGATTGTCACAATATATGATTTCATAACATACATTAGAATTTCATAATATATTCAAAATATATATTCTTTAGAATTTTCACGCTAAACTCTGTAAAACACGAAAATTTAAAAGCCCATTATGTAAACACTGTAAACAAATTGTTCGTAAAACGAATGTTGATTCAAGCTTTTAAAGATTTAAATCAGCATATTTTGAAACGTTTACTTAACACCTGCTTCGTTAGATTTTTATACTTTTTTGTAGGTGTTTAAATATTTGGCTGACATCATTGCATACAAAATGGAAGCGTGACGCCTCAAAACCACTTATGCACAAACCGTGCTCTAATTACATTGAAGATAGCGTGAAAGTCTGGTGCGCCATTCATCATGGGGTATAGTGTGCATACACCTTAAAACTACAGTGCATACTTCAATGATATGATATAATAAGTAGTTATTCGTAGTATGAACTTTTCTTGTTTATAATTGACTCTTCATTGGCGTAGATGTGAGTAAATATCTATACTAGAAGCCTTTGAAAATGGTAAAAAGTGAAAAAAAAAAATAGTAGGCTGAAACACATTGGAAAAGGAAGAGAATATAACAAAAAAGAAAGGAAAAATAATTTACGCACGATCTGAGGTCGGGAAGTGGTAGAGGGTGAATTATTAAGGGTAAAAAACGGTTTATCTCGATTTCCGGCAAAACTACAAGTCATATGGAAAATAAATTAAAAGGCAAAGTTGTAGGTAATAAAAAGATGTACAGCTTTTGTATTAACATTTTTTTCACATCACCTCATGTGAAAAATTCAAATAACCAAGTTTTTGGTTTTTTATTTTTATCTTTTACATAAAAAAATCTTTTTCACGAAATTTGGTGGAAACTTACCTTTTTATGTCCCAAGCATACTGTAATTTTTTTGATTTAAAATATTTAATTTTTCACCTTATTTTGACTTAATATGGAAAAGCACCCTAATTTTCAATCGAAATATCTGTTTTTTTAAAAAGTCGGAGGTCTTTTTATTCGTTAAAATCTCTACTTTCTGATGGTGTAAATAATATATACATTACTATGATAAATTTTCTCAGAAAATATAAGTGAAGTCACCGCGGCAGTTAGATTTGTATGTAAAATCATGAAACTTAATACTTTTGTATAGAAAACCATTAAACTATAGGTGATATACAATTTTATACATCACTTTCATTTGTATGAATACTTAAGTCTATTTACAGACGTACTCGTAGGTGCTCTGCGTGTCAAATCCCACTTGATGTTGAAACAAGCAAGTATCTAACCGCAAATCGACTAGAGTAAGTCATGCAAGATTGTTGTGACCTATATATGTACATTGTGGTGCTACTTTATTATTGGTTTTCAATTGCTTTTAAATACATATAACATATAAGTATCGAAGATTTTATTTACTAATGTTTCTTATGGCTTTGCTTGTTTAATTTTGAAGAATGGAGTGCCGTTTTCGTAGGGTGATGTAAGATAGTCTATAAGAAACAATCTTTTCAGTTCGATATATTATTATCAAAATATCAAACAAAATAAGTACAAACCCAAAGTATCTATTATTAGCCTTTGAAGAAACTCGAAACTCTTCAATGACCACGACGACCATACCAAACCACTGCGCTATCAACGGTCAACATAGAAACACTTGCAAATTTCAAGTCAATATGACAATTAGAAGTAGGTCAAATTTTCATTAGCAATTTTTCCACCCTTAGGGGTGAAATATTTTTTTTAAATTTAAATGGGACCAAATTGGAAGTATACACTTTCAAACAAAACCAAAATTGTCAAAATCGGTTAATTAATGATGGAGTGCTGAGGTAACAAACATAAAAAAATAATGCCGAATTGAGAATCTCCTCCTTTTTGAAGAATTTGGTTGGAAAGTCGGTTGAAAAGTGACAAGAATATCTTAAAAAAAATTATGACGAATATAATATTATATTATGTATGTAGGTTACATCACGTTTTGCTAAGAAAAACAAAAGACAAAAGCTTATGGATCTTTAATGTGACTGAAAAATATAGCGTTCATGAAATATAAAAAAGTTCTTTCTAACCTACAATGTTGATAGTAATTTAATAGAAAAAGACATTCGTTACAATAAATTTTACAGCAAATGTAATTAAAAAAATGACCATATGCATTTCACGTAGTTTCCATTAAAGTATTACCGGTTTTTTCATTAAAAATTTACCGTGCAATAAATATGTTAGCGTAAGTAAAGTTCACGTGAACTAAAGTTTTAGCTTTTATACATTTATTCATTATTTACTATATATTTTGTAAAAGATTTTACAGATTAACCAATTCTGTCGCGTGTATGATGTGATTAAAAGAAATATTTTGAGCTTTTCACCTTTTTTTTTAATTCTAACTAGCGTAGTTTTATTTTTGTCGCAGATATTAATAAACTTATTCATTAAAGCCTTTCAAAATAAATACTAAATAGTAAAGGTTTGTTAACATCGTATTAATAAGCATATAGTTGAAATTTCTATACGGTAATATTATATTTTCATAACATTGTAAATATGTAAAACTTGCCCGTTTTTAAACAGTTTTATTTAGCTTGACCTATTTGCTTAGGTCAAATTTAGTAATTGAAATTTTACCCTTTTCCTGTGATTGATCTGTTAATTGGTACAAACTTTTAGCTATGATGACAATATAATTGAATATATTCAATATCATTGTAAATCCAAGATGGCCGTCTCCACAAAATGGCGGATTATATATTTAAATGCTAGGGCTTAACTAGTAGAATATAGCACACTATGCAAAAATATCCAAATCTAATATGACCGCCAACAAAATGCCCCATAACATATTTTTTCAAACGACTTCCTCAAAAAGGAGGAGGTTCTCAATTCGGCTGTATGTTTTTTTTTATGTTTGTTACCTCGGAACTCCGTCATTTATTAATTGATTGGACAATTTTGGTTTTGTTTGAAAGTGTATACTCCCAGATTGGTCCCATTTAAAAAATATATTAGGTAGGTCCTAGGTACCAGTCATCATACGACTGTTCTCATATAAACAATACAAAATAAGCAAATTGTCTGACGTTTAAAATATATATAATAGAAAATAACATTAGAAATTAAACATCTAAGATATGTTTTTTATAAATACTAGTCTTTTCACTCGCGTGATAAATGGGACGTGGATCAAGCGTATGCCATTGTCCGTCACCAGGATGCCCTTGCCAAATTTTATCGAAATCTGTTTAGTGGTTTAAACATGAAAATATAACAGACAGAGTTACTTTCACATATTTTGTAATATACGTATGAAAGTATAAACGTAACGTCTGCATTCTATTTTATAGCTTTCGTGAAAACTAGCTAAGAATAGTTTACTTTTGCTGACGTAGAATAAAATAAGTGAAGATGTAGAAATTCTATGATTTAATTTACCTCTTCTTACCTACCTTCCGAACGACTGAAGTAAGCATTTTTAATGCTTACTTCAGCCGTTCGGAAGAGTAGGGAGATAATAATATGAAATTGGAATGCGAAGTTAGTATTGTAATTTTTGGCTTTTAAAAAGACAACGATTTACGAAAAAGAAGATTTACGAAAAGTTTTGAGACTTCTTTCTAAGTATCTTTAGAAGGGTCTTATAAAAGTTGCGAGAGCAAATGTTTGGCACAATAAGTGGTTTTAACTCTCATATTATTGGCGTTTTTTTTTCAATATAATTAATGATAACTTATTAAATACAGATAAAAGATATATTATTCATGCAGTAGCTTCCGGATAAAATTACTTTAGATTAATTTTTATAATTTAATTAACAACTAAATAATAAAAGTTTGATAGACTCCTAATGAGAGTTTTTATTACTGTTTGTGACTTTTAACGTCTTTAAAACGACCTTAAAGTCTACCAACTAAAAATCACTTTAAATTAATTCAACATTAGGATTTCATTATAAATACAATTATCAAATTCGATACATTTGGCAGAAATATCGTGTAATTCACACAAAAAAAACTCAATAAAGTAGTATCTCCTATTTTATAAAGTCGATTAAAATCCAACTGAAAGACGTTCACGGCTAACGATTTGTCAAAGTAACTTTTTAAAATAGATAAAAATCGGACTAGTGCGAGTCCGACTCCTTTTTTTTTTTTAACGTTGGGAAATGCATTTATGCACGACGTGTGGGACTTACCGGCGTAATACAGCCAGTACTACCCACTAAAACCCAACAAAACCTTCCCCCGTCTTAATGGGGCGTCGCAGGATCGCTTACGCATTCAACTACGACGCCCCGACGGCAGGTCTGCCAAAGCAGACCACTACAACCATGGGGTTGCTCCACAGTCCACTCTGCTATCAGAGAAGTACCAGGAGCAACCCGCATGGTACACCGCCCCCCCGAAGAGGGCCACCTCCCTGTGCGTTTCTTAGCTTCGCGCCCGGTTGGATTGCCGGGCACTACTGAGCCCCCCCACCACGACAAGGTGAACGCACGTTGGGGGGGGGGGGGAGCCCGACTCCTGCAGCGAGACTTGCTTACCACTAACATCAAAGGATTACGTTTTGACTTACGTTATTTAATTTATTAGAAGCAAAAAATAAGTCTGTACTTTATATTATATCTTAAAGATAATAAATAATCTGGAAATTAACTAAGTGAATACATGTCCATACATCTGAAACTTATTATTTATTCGTAGATCTGAAAGTATTTTGTGTGCTCCATTACCAATTTTGACAATTTTTCTAAACATATTATTTATTTTGTAGACTTAATCTAAGGAAACCTAGAACCTAACATTTCTAAAATAAAATATGTACTTTAGTTATCTCAAGGAATAACTAATTCGACATTTTTTTATTCATATAAGAACTCATGCAGAACTCTTATACATACATACTCGTCAATTAATATATTTATTAAGATTTTGAAAACAATGTAGATTCTATAACTTATAATTCTTTGCATGGAAGTTATATTCTACATACTTACCGATATAAACACTTCCTCTGCTTGTTGCAAGATTGCGATGCGAGACCAGCCAAACTTTTGCATCAGTTTTATTCTTGTAGGGTTGTGTACTGTGGCAGATGGGTGTGTGCGGAACAAGGTCGGGAACCGCGCTCGGTCTGACAGCGCTGGTGACGAAGCTCCATAACATAGCTAGATAAAAAATAATAATATTATCTATTAATAAAGAGTGTTAGTGTTTTCTTAACTGATTTCGGTTGTAATTTATCCCACTGAAACTAGCCAAGTATGCGGGTAACAAAACAGTATATGCACATAGCATATACAGAAGTGCACGTTCTATATCTTTTACTTATACGGTGGGACGACGATTTGATAAGCCGGTGGGAGATCAAGCACAGTATTGACAGTTTAGCGTTCGAGTTACGAGGTGGTAATGTCGCCGACTTTCCGACTCCGATCTACTATTGCGTATTTCGTGATAGAATATCAGAGCAACTAGCATTTTGCCCGATTGGGAATTTAATTCAAAGTCTCATAATGTGTCGTAACATGTTGGATACTATACCAATGACGCAGCTGTTAGTATTCTGCATTATCTATACTAATATTAAAAGGAGGTAAAGTTTGTGAGATTCTGAGTTTGTGACGTGGTAAGGGGTAATCTCTGGACCTACAGAACCGATTTAGATGAAATTTGGTAAGAAGATAGTTTGAGACCCTGGGAAGGACATAGGATACTTTTTATACCGGAAATTACCCCTAAGGGGTTGAAAATGGGGGTGAAATTTTGTATGGGGAACCAAGCTAGGGACGGACCCGAGCGAAGCGAGGGTGAGTCTCTAGTATTGTATAACTAAGTAAAACGTGTAACGTATATATGCCTAAATAATTTTAAAATAAATGTTTATTCTATAACAATTTAAAGTCACTCAAAAGCCATTTCTAAGACATTCTTGAAAACTTCAGAAATAAAGTGTTGTAAAAATAATATTAAAGTAGAGATATCTCAAAGGAACGCATTACTAGAGTAAAAAGTATCTATCACATTAGTAGAATAAAAATATAATGGATTATCTGTTATGGCAAATATCCTGTCATGACTTGGAAAATAACACGATGGTGCACATGATTTTCCCGTACAAAACGCTTTGACAACGGATAATAAGTACTTTAGTACAATATATAATTGATACATAAGGATACTTAGATATAGGTGAATAGTTTTATGTGAGTAATTTTTCTATAGTATTTCGTTATAGGTCTACTATTTTGGACAGAAATATATATACAAACAAAATGTAACTAAATCTAAATGGCTTCTTTGAAATACTAGTAAGGGCTTCACTTACGTAAATGTCAATAAAAAGTAGTCCAAATTATCTAAGTTCCGACACACTAATTCATTCATTTACTATTTATAGCTGTATTCCACTTGTATAAACAAGTAGTATATTACGTTAATAGCTTTTTCTGAAAATATAATAGAGAATAGCAAAATGTAATATATAATCTATACATATAAATAAAATTTTAACTAAGTCGAATCTGTACATTAAATATATTTTTGAAATTTGGTATGATGATAGCTGCATTGTAAGAGTATATTTAGTATACGTAAGACCTAAGAATTTGGTTTTTAGTCATCTAAATGCGGGCGGAGCCGCGGGCAATGCTAGTATTATAATAATATTTTAAAAATTCATTCTGGTTTCCGCCCACGTTACAAAAGTAGTACACTGTCAGTTCTATGTTTTAGGTGCAGCTTAGACCGAATGATAAATGAAACGATTCTATTCGTATGTCTAAAAGTTTATGTATAAAGGTGGAGATATATTTAGAACAAAGTGTCTGATTTATTTATAATAACATTTTTATAAGAAATAAGCAAACATTTTTAAAAGAACAATCAATGTATTTATGTCTATATTTATGTATTAAATAAAGAGAGAAAAATATTTTTTTTGTTTTTTTTTTTCAATTTAAACTAAATGTCAGGTTAGTTCAATTTTTTTTTCTTTCAATAGTCTATATTATATTTAAGAATTTTATATATATGTAGTTTATTTAACGTCATACTACGAATCGTATAAGCGGAGAAATTATAATAAACTACGGGAGTGAAGCTGCGGACAAAAGATTAAAATTTAGTTCATGTCTCTTTATTTATATGGCTTAACGTAGAATATGGTGCTCAACCTCTATCTTTTGGTATCGAATAAAAACCTTAAAACAGATAAAAAAGGTTATATAAATATTTTCTCTAAGCTGTTCGTAGATAAAAAAGGAATATAAACACTATACTTATAAATGGTATTAAGGCCTCAAACAGAACCTGAAAAAAAAAGATGTTAAATATTATATACACACATATATGTATATTATACTCGTATATTATTCTTATTTCTACATGAAAATGTTATACTTAAGTAAGTTAGCTGAAGTAGAGCTGCTACAGAGGTTGATAATAGTAACTTAGATGCCTGACTAAAAGCTCAGGTAGAGGTTACACCCTCTCTACGTTGACGTGCATGAAATCTTTGTTTATATACATTATATGTTTTTATTGATAAAATAATGATAATATCATAGAAATGTTAATATTTTTTTCATTGTATCGTAAAGTATTATGGTTAATGGACTTCGGAGTATCCATAATTAGTATTACTTCCTGCTTAATTTTAAGTCTATTTCCGGCAACTGTTCTTAGAATAAGTTAAATTCGTTCCCAACCGACTTCTAAATATGGAGATACTCAATTAGACTGTATTTTTTGGGTAGTTACACAATATCGTCAGAATTTTGTGAATTTTTCTTTTCCGTGATTTTTATGTTATAATTTAGTTTAAAGAAAGTTTTATGTTCATAAGAAAATCATCCCGAAGGAATATTTGCTTTAAAATAATTTCGTTAGTTCGTTAAGTCGTCATAATGAAAAGTTATTTACCATTATGAAAATACGTGTATGAAATCTTTGTTCATATACCTACATTAAGTATATGTTTCTATTTTATTTCATGATAAAATAATGGTATTATCATAGAAATGTTCATGTATATTTTTTTTCATTGTATCATAAAGAGCTTTGAAGTATTCCTAATTAGTATTACTTCCTGCTTAATTCTATTTCCGGCAACCGTTCTTAGATTAAATTAAACTCGTTTTTAACTGTCTTAAAAGTGTAGAAAAAATCCATGACTTTTTACGTTATAATTTATACTGTAAAGAAAGTTTTATGTATATTATAAAAAAATCATCCCGAAGAAATATTTGCTTAAGAACAATTCTGAAGTCGTCAAAGTGAAAAGTAATTTACTATGATAAAAAGAATATTTAAACTTTGAATAATTTATAATAAAACAGAAACATAATTCAATTAATAATTCTCTGCCATTCAATTACCTACTTCAAAACAGAGTTAAAAGTTTATATCGTTCTAAGTAGCAATCATAATGCTATTGTTATTCAAATTATGATTCAGTGGAATAAAATATAACAAACTTTGAATCTCTTTGTTCGACATCTATTATTACGACTTGACTTTCAGTTATTAAAAAATAATTCTTCCATCTATTTTATTCTATACTAGCATTGCCCGCGGCTCCGCCCGCGTTCAGATGACCAAAAACCAAATTCTTAGGTTTTACATATTAATATACTCTTACATTGCAGTTTTTGTATTTTTTCACAGAAATAAGATCCAGATAACCAGCCATCACCATACTAAATTTCATCAAAATTCCACCAGTAATTCCATGATGCGGTAACAGACAGACAGGAATTCTAAAAACTTTAGATTCGGCCTCTGTATCGATAATAATGTCTATTTCAATAAGATTTTCCAAAAAATGCTTAATGTACAGAACCGGCTTAGTTACAATTTTATTATACGTATAGATTTATTTAAAAAAAAACAATAAAAACAGTTTTTTATAGTAATCGTTACTTAAAATAAAAGAGACTTAAAAGTACTTCATATAGACCTAAATATTTAATATCTGTTCAACTATAAATAACAGTTATTTTACACGTTCCTTTTTAAAACAGTATATTTAAATATATGTATATTTCTAAATTAAATACTTACGACCATGAGGTTCCACATTTTGGCTGCTTCCGCAACAGTTGTACACACGGTCGAGCAGCCTGCCAGTAACAACAACTTTTGTGGCGGATTGTATAGCAAGTTGTACATGACACTTGCACCAAGTCCAGGTTCACACTGAAGAAAAGAATTGAATTAGATACATTCTTGCAATGTTTTATTAATACTAATTACGAGAATGTATTGATGTATGTCTAACTCGCATCGTTAAAATAAGAATATTTGGGTTAAAAAGAAATACAAGAATAAAGCTGATATGTGATAATAAGTTTAAAGCTGAGGTTTTTTGTTGGAAACAAGTATGATTATTTAAACTACGAGTACGGAGTATAGGTTAGTTCTTATACTCCGATCAGTAGATTTGGAGAAAATCGGAGAGACAAATATTTTTTTTATTTGTCTCTTTAATCCATATTATAAATACGTTAGAAACTTTACTGCTTGTAGATAGAAAATAAAAATATTATATGCATGAAATAATTGAAAAGCTGTTCAAGGTTTGAAAGATCATAATTGTTTTTTTTTGAAACGTTATTGGCTGACGTACTCAATTTCTTTGTGTAGACGTTTTATACAAAGGTTTTTTTACAAATGACTGAACGTATTGGTCTGTAGATGTATGTATGTATGCGGCGTTCCTTTGTGTGTTTGCGAGATTGTTTGTAAAAATAACTAAGCTATTTGCTCTTTACAAATAGTTATTTTTACTTATAATTAAAAGAATTATTAAAACTCAGTTCTATAGTGATACAATTATATAAAGGAAATAAAAGTAAAAAAGGGCATAATACTTTCTTAGATTTACGCGAATATTTGACATTTTAAATAAAACTATCTTTTCGGATTTGGTCGCGGATTTATTTGCATTAATGCAATAATACAAAATACAAAATCCGAAAAGATTTAGAGTTTTATTTAAAATAAAAAAGGGGAGTTCAACAATCTACTTTTAATGTGTCAAAAAATATTTAACAAGTCTGCCTCTTGCAGCGTTGTTATAACACAATATTAAAATTGAAATTAAAGCGCAAATATTTAAACATTAAGTTGAAGACCAAGTTTTTTAATAACTCTAAATAAAGAATAAAAATATTATTATTGAAATGTTTATACATAAAATACACCATAAAGTAAATAATATTGATCATCCGCTACGACGGTCTTATCCCCTGGAGAAGATAGTTTTATATCAATAGAAATAATGTGTATTTTATTAAATTTTCCTAATTTTTGTAGAAAACATAAGTATTTTAATTATTAGTTGACCTTAGAAAATGCCAGCTCTTGGAATTTTTATTATAAAAACTTGTTTTCTCCCAATTACATGCCAAATCTATTTACTTTTCTAAATTTACTTATAAAAGTGGTACTTAAATAACATCGTTTAGAATAAGAAAATCTTGAAAAAGCTAAACTTCTATTTATTATCTGACCTAGATAGATTGAATAGTTTTCGAATTTTGCTCAGAACAGCGAAAAAACAGACAATAGAGCTTTATTAAAGGGTTTCCACTGCAGATGAGAACCGAAAAAATGGGAAGTTCATTTTTCGAGTTTAAGTTTTTGGATGTTACATCTAACTAGTGATAAAGACTTTTTGTAGATTATACCCTTAAAAGATTTTTGTTATTTTATTCCTTTTAAGGACAATTAAGATTCTAAAATATCAAAATGAAATAAAATATTAAATTCTTAGTTTGTGAAATATCTCAAAATAAATGCTTAAAAATTATTTCAATATACAAAACATCATGAACATAATAAATTATTGTCATATGAAGAAAATCTTTTACTTTAGACAAAACATAATGACGATTCATAAAGAAATTGAAGTAGGATTTTAATTAATAACTTCCTTTCTTGCATTTTCATTAATTGGATATTAAAAATTCAGTTTTGCTTGTCAGACAGAGCCGTCAAGCCTTTGAAAGGGCCGGCTTAAATAATTAAGGTTGATGTACTATAGTACAATGACAGGCAGAGAGAGGAGGAAATCTATACCTATGTTTTAGAAATTATCGTACTCTATAGTATAATTTATCAGTCAAATGCTTTTATATTTTTCTATCATCCCTTTTCGGGGAATCTAGGTATGTATAATAACCTGTAGTAAGCACTCTTCGTCGTATGTTCCGAAATCAGGCTCATTTTATTTCCGAAGTGATATTTGGTTTCTCTTCATCTTATTATTTACCAATTTTTATGAAAATCTTATGGGTATTTAAAAAAACTATTTATATACATATTAAATACTAGTTACATTTGAGAGTAATATTTTGTAGCATTAATTTAATATGTACTATCTATATAACTACTCATATTATTAATATATTAAACAAACAGCGAATAATAACAATCCATACTAATATTATAAATGTGAAAGTGTGTTTGTTTGTTTGTCCTTCTTTCACGTCGAAACGGAGTAACCATCTCGGTTGGAGGGCTAGAGAGTAGCATTGGCTACTTTTTACCACGGGAGAAATAACTCTTTCGCACAGGAAAACACGTTATAATACAATCCAAACAAGTATTTGTGATCAGAATTACTTGAAACTTAGTATTAATGATCTTCAATGCAATTAAATAAATACATGTTGTAGCATTTTTCGAAATTCATCACATAAGGGGGTAAAATAGGGCATGAACTTTCAGAGTTTTTTTTTGTAGTTTTAGCGTGAGCAAAGCCGCGGTTTCTGATAGTAGCTCATTATTATTTTACTTGTATGGTTCAAATTTGAACATGATATTTATCTTCATTTATTCATATTACATTTTTAGACTATTCCATTTATATCTTTTATTTAATGCATGGATGCCTGCAATTATCGATAAATAATTTTTTTCATTAAGAAAATGAAAAAAATGATTTATTGATTCACATTTAGCTCTCAATATCAATTATTCAAAGCAATGAAATCGTCAATGTTATCTGAGAGTTAAAATGTATAAATTGGTAAATCACTTCTATCCGGCTCGGAATTTCTATCCAATAAAAATTTTCTTTCGTGACCGATTCATAAATTTTCAATAATTGAATCGAATGTCAGGTTCACTCTCAGCTATCGCGGCCGCGACCCAAGATTGTACATCTCGTTTCGCGGCGACCTCGTTTGAACATTTGGGCGTTTCATACTTTTACTAACCTATAAACTAAATAATCTAATAACTAAACTAATGGATTAAATTTGTCACTAAAATCACCCATAAGACAAGCATTAAGTTGATTGAAATAGCGATGAACGCAAAATTTGCTGAATTAAAGGAATTAAGAAGAAAATAATACTTTCTTAGATTTACGTGAATGTTTGACATTTTGAATGAAACTATCTTTGATGTTTTCTGTCGGAAACAAAAATATAAAATAAAACTGTGACAAAGTTAAAGAAGATAATTTCATTTTATAAAGAAGTTAATAAATTACAGAACGTCTATTACCTTGCTGTCATTGCTGTGAAGAAGTAATTTGAATCCCGATAAGAGATCCGATCTAGCATTTACATCAGCGAGAGCTAGCTCAGCAGCCGGCTTGCAAGCTTGCCCTCCTTGCCAACCTCCCTCTCCTTCCATGGGGAATATCCCACCAATATGCAAGTCGTTATCACGTCTCCCTTCACTGTATCTAAGTTGTCCACTCAGTAAGAGTAGCAAGACTATTTGACCGCCCCGAACACGCGACACGCACACTATACACTTGGCAACAATGAATAATTGCACTATAGCATTCACTAACAACGTATTAATATCGCAAAACAATGTACTAGTTCGAAATGGGAACAAATTCGCTTTTAATTTGACTAGCGGACGCTTTGGAAAATTAAAGTTCACGCCCTCCCGCGGTATAGTGGCGTCGCGTAAATAAGATATCACCCGTAGAAATAGTAGATATAGCCTAATAAGCGTGAAATGCTTTATAAAACATGTCGAGGGCGGGTAGAGGGGCGCGTGGTGCCGGGCGGGCCCCGCCGAAGGCTCGCGACCCCCGGCGCCCAGCAGGGTCATCGCTCGCGGCGGGGACATGCTGTCATTGTTCACCTTTCTCATTTTCCATCTTCTGTCCTGCAACAAGTATACCATATATGTAACATCATTATGATACATCAAAAACATTTTAATAAATAATATATTTTTTTAAGTATACGTCAAGCGAAACTTAGATGCGTGAATTTAGCCGCAAGTCTATGCGAACGACACAATCGTGAATATATTTGATGGTAAATATAATATACCTACCTAGCTAGTGAGGTAACTTGTTAGGTAACGTTGTGCACAACGCACATGGCATAACTTATATATATATATATATATATATATATATATATATATATATATATATATATATATATATATATTAAAGGCGTTGGTTTACTTAAAACTATTAAATAGTAGCAATAAAAATTTTAAGAGAAGGACTCTTTCAATATTATTTTTAAATAATATATTTATCATTTCAAGTTGAAAATAACAAGTTGGCCTTCGAAATATTACATACGGTATGATATTTACATGTAGTCGTCTTGACGTCGTATTTACAAATATATAGCTCGGAAGAGGGACTGAAAATTCACGTCTTAAATATATACTGTAGGTTATGTACCTCAAACTTACGTTAAAGCTAAGTTAACATCTCAGTATATTGACAAAGTTCAACTATTGTCAAAGAGAACAATTGCAGACTTCGATAATATCAGCCCACCAATAACAAGATATTCCTCGGAACAGGAGTCTAGAGACATTCGATTGGGGTAATATAGGAGCTTAGTGTAATGCTCTGTATGATAAGAACTTTATTGTACGTTTGTTCCAACATAATTTTAGATTTTATAGAAAGCTTTATAGTTACTTGTTAAAATATGTTAAAATGATAATAATCTAGATTAAGATCAATCGATTTAAATAATTGTTTGTGTAATAATATTTAAATGTACTAAAAAGAAGCACAGTGTTTTATAACGTTTATATATTATGCATAATATTTTCCTGAATTAATATAATAATTTTATGTCATCATGTTTGTTAGAACAAAATATTTATCGAAAATACTCTAATATTTCAAATTTATTTACAAAATAGTAACTATAAGTAACGAAAGATAATTTTATAATAAAAAATCGATTCAGAACCGCATGTTAACTTTAGTATCGAAAAGAATTGGCAGTAACAAAGGACTGATAATAATCGTCTCTCCAGGGCATTGACTGTAATGAAATGAGCTTAATGGTTCGTTGATTATTTCCCTTAATACTTATCGCTGTTAACTGTTCAGGGTTTTACTTAATGAATTGTGAAGAAGGTTTGTTTTATAATGTTAAGATATTGTAATATTTTATTTCGCTAATGAAATATGAATTTGCTTTCTATATTTTTAATTTCTATTATCATGTCGCTATTTATGTCTGTTAGTGCTCTTTTGAACTAAAACAATAAATACCTTCCTTTCTTAGACTTATGCAAATATTTGACATTTTAAATAAAATTCTCTTTTTGGATGTTTTCGCCTATTTTGATTTTTTGTTCCATAAGTTTTGAAAGATTTACAACAAACATGTTCAGTCATTTGGAAGAACAAAGAAATGGTAACGAAATATATATTTTTTAATTTTTTTTCCAAAATTAATATGAAAAAATAGTTTTATTTAAGATACACAATCAATTTCGATATTGATTTTGCCATAGTCCTCCACGAAGTATATTATGGATGTAATTAAAAAAAAAAGAGTTTTTCGCCGACTGTTCTTGACAGAGTTTTCGTCCGTACTAGCGTAGCTCATTTTGTAGTTGCAGTTTACATGTTGCTAGAGTTACAATAATGACATTTACTTAAATTTAATGTACATGGCGATTTTAAATTACTTGTAATTTTGCCTGTATCAATGAAATATATTTTGAGTTTTAGTATCATATATTTGTGATGTTCTCACGTTAGTAAATGACGTGCAGAGTTGTAAAATCTATTTAGCCATCAGTATCACTAAGCTCATCACTGAACGTCGTCCGTTTACTCGTAAATAAAAATGTAGCCGTTGTTGAGTGAAACGTAATCTGTTACTTAAAGAAAAAACCGCCTTAATTCGTTGCTAAATTTAATTATAGCTTTGTCTTCTTTTTCTTAAGAAATAGAAAATCCAATGATTTGTCCTTGAGATACGCCTGAGTACATAGCATAGTTCGGACATGACAAGTGCTATTTTTATTTAGCTTATAATATACTAGCGACTCACCCTTGCTTCGCTCGGGTTCGGCCCTATGTACGTTTTAAATTAAAATGAATATAGTATGTTATCGTTAAGAGATAGACATATGCCATCGTGGACTTTTCTGTAGACATAAGTAAGATTCACAATTCCACCATACATTATACTGTTATATCTCAAAGAGATCAGGCAGCGTTTTCGTTGAAAGCTCCCAGACGGCTTATTTATTGCGACACCTTGAACAAATATCCTTATATTTTAGCCAATGTATACAAAAACTTAACAAATTATATACTAAAACCTTCTTCTTGAATCATTCTATATAAAAACCGCATCAAAATCCGTTGCGTAATTTTAAAGATCTAAGCATACACAGGGACAGACAGCGGGAAGCGACTTTGTTTTATACTATGTAGTAATACAACCATGCATTGTATATATACAACCAGTATTTGATATAAGTAAACTTCTTATACTGAATGCTAACAGCCAGATTTGTAAATTATGAAAATCTAAGAAAGTATTATCAAAGGTATGTTTAATAATTTTAGATAGTGTCTACTTGCAACTCAAGAATTTTAAAAATATCAGTTTTTTCTCACATTTACCACTTTCACCTATTGTTTTCGTGGTTTCCTTAGTTTATATAATAATCATTTTTATTTACTTGTTCAATTTTCTTGTTTATTTATTTATACTTTTTTAACTATATTACAACAAAACAAGTTCAGATACCTATATTTAGTTTTAACCGTAGCTTTAAGTGTCTAATAGTTCATAATTTTAAGAGCTTTAAATAGCTATGATTATCTTACTAATATTATAAATATGAAAGTTCGTGAGTATAGATATTTGTTACTCTTTTACGCCAGAACGGCCGAACGGATCTGGATGAAATTTAGCAGCGCATTTGAGCCGCTAGTATTTTATAAATCAAAATATATTAGTTCTATTATTAAGTTTAATATATTTTATCTAGTAAATAGATGAAAGGTGTATCCTATTTATAGATCTATAATAAATCTATTATGATACATATTTTTAAATAACGTCAATTAAAATAAATATAACTACAATTAACTCGTAACGACACAGCATTTACGCGAACGCAACAATCGAACAATTACATGCAATTACACACATGCAGTGTCATTAAGGGGATTCGCTGAAAGCTTTTGTTTTCAACAGTACGAGGAAAAGAGAAAGATATACATGTTTGTGTATATTGCAAGAATATCCGTGTAATTGGCCTGCTTATAAAATCTACGAAATAATATTCCGTGAATTTCAAAGCTTCGTCCTTCTTATGTACTTGTACGTTATTAAAATTAGCTTTTAGCTTTTTTTTCTATAAATTAATCACAAAAATTCGTGGCAACCAAATATGCGAGCCAGTTTTCCAAAAATAAATAAAGACGGAACCACAAGAAAGAGTTTAATGAAACAATTTTCCTACAGATGAAACTTTATTATGTCGAACTTTTATATCATTTTAAAAGTATATTTACTGATATTATGAATTTAATTGTTTCCTGGAGCTAAAATTTCTTCAGCTGTTTATTTTTTATAATAATATTGTTACTACAAAAATATAATGAGTACGTACTTTCTAAGTATTTTCTAAGTATAATTAAACGTAATATATTTTTTGAAAGTGTCATCTTTCACAAACAACTTCAGTTTTTTTTTAAATTTAAAAGAACAGCTACATATCTTATTAAAAATTGGGAAGGTTTGGTTTGGTTACGTGGTGCGTGGTGGGAGCTTCCAGCAATCCATCCACGCGTGGTGTACCACGCATGTTGTACCACACGTGTTGTTCCATGTACTTCTCTGTAAGCAGAGTAGACTGTTGGATCAACTTCATGGTTGATGTGATCTACCGTCGATGCGTTGTAGTTGAGTATGTAAGCGATCCTGTGATTTCCCAGGCAGGAGAGGTTTCATTGGGTTTTAGTGGGTAATACTGATTTTTCTTTCCAGTGAGTCCCAGTAAATGCATTTCCCATCGTTAAAAAACGTAATTAATTTGACTATTTTAATTTCCACTGTTTGAATATTTATTAAACTAAAATATCATATGGATCATAGGACGAAGTAAAAAAAAGTATTTGGATCATTTTTCATTATCTTTAACCGCTATCTGCCAGGCTTCGCATTTTGCATCTACAAAGCTACTTTACCACTTTAGCTCAGCTAGAAACCAATTACGCCTCTCAACTATCGAAACGGCACTTAGCTCAGTCATCTGAATCACCCTCTCGAACCAGACAAAAAGTATTAAAACACAAAGGGTAAAGAAATTTACGACTACCTAGTTATTGTACTAACTAAAAAAGAATTATAAAAATGTTCGCTACACTTACTTCGTGCAGCAAAATGAATAGACTAAAAATAAAAGCGAAGGAACGGTTCGAGGGTGGTTTATTCATAATTTTACTTATTCAAGGCGAAAGTATAAATTAACTTAAGCTTTTTAGAGTGACACTTAAGTTAATTACGAATTTTATTTCAAATGTTTAAATAGAATAACGGTTTTAAATTTATTTAGCCCTAATCTAGTTATGTAACCAAATTTATTAAAAAAAAGGCATCAGATTTTAAAAAGTAAATACCGTATGGTACTGTTTGGCCTATACATATACTATCACTATAAAATCAAGTAAATTCTTCACTACGCAATTAATAAAACAAAAACTAATCTACACATTTTGGCATTTTTAATATTAAAACGAGTAGAATCTGTACATTAAATATGTTTTATAAAATCTTATTGATCATTTTATCATTAATATCGATACAGAAGCCGACTCTATAGTTTATAGAATTTTTTTCTGTCTGTATTTATGG